CGACGTAGGTTCACCCTTTGATGCACCTTTGCCAAAATTGTACTTGGCCCGGAAGGCCAAATCCTCCCGCTCCTGCTGTGCCTCATCCACTGTACCTTCCTCTGTGGGAGGGTCACCGATGTTCCCATCCTCATCATCAGCTTCTTGGCTATTCTTTGGATCAGTTGACCCTCCTCCTGGCCAACCTTCACCATAACGACGATGCTCATAGGGACAACCATCACCGTTGCGACACCTTCCCTTATTGAAGAACTTGCACAGTTTGCTGTATCCAGGTGACACAGTCTGTGGAGTCATGTGAGCCTTTTTGTACTGGTCAGGGTCCATGTAGGCTTCCATTGGCTTGTTCTCCCTTTTGCTCATGGATTGCACTGCACCATCAAGCTCCTGCAAAAATAGCTTGGTGTCCAACCAAAGCGCGTTCCAAAACTCATCTTCCCCTTGATTCAGCACCGTTGCCACCGCTTCACCCACAACTGGTCGAGTAAATCTCCTTTTTCTGCATGCCAGTTCGAAAAGCGCGTTGTGGTACTGTTTTCGGGAAAAAGTGGTTAACTTCCCCAAGCCTGTGCTTTCTGTACCATCAGGCTTCCAACCATCATTTTGCAAGATGCCATACGCGCGCCGAGCTTCCGCATTGAGGAATGCCTGATCTGCAACACACTCCTGTAAATCTTCCATCGGGCGACCCAACAGCATCCCAGTAATTTTGCCAACATAGGCTTCATCTTCGTTTCCATTCTCCAGAAGAGCTTTGTAGATCTTTTCTCCATAAAGTTGCCTTTCTTCTCGTTCTTCAGAGGATAACTCCTGTACCACAAGCTCTTCATCGGATTGCTCTTCCTCCTGTTTCCAGTCCCATTGACCGTTGGAATCTTGGTACCATTGACCAGCATACCATGAATCCGTCCACCACGTACTCCAGCCGCTGGGTTTCCATTTCCGCAGCGTCGAAGAAGAGTCCTCCACGTCCTCTTCCAAAACCAGAAAGGTGTCCAAGATTATGGTACCATCATCTTCCACTCGTTTCACTGTTCCATTGACAGTATCACCAAATTTGAACTGATATGCATTGTTCCCTTCTGCAGGAACCAATACATTCATATCACCATGGTCCAAAAAGGCTCCATACCCATTGATGCAGCGCACTAGACCCATGATCTCATCTCCCTCTTGATAGCAATGTGTCCCAGGTGATTCCAAGGCTCCCGCTCGGGGCACTTTCTTTGCATGCTCTTCAGAAACCACCTCTGTATCATCGGCTCCTGGCGCATCCTTTGTCTTCACCTTTGGGTCACACTGCTCGTCCTGCTCCACGAGTCCCACAAGCTCATCTTTTTTGTGCTCCTGGATTTCAGGACCTCCCTTTTTCTCCGCCAAAGGCTTTGCCTCATCTGCTGTAGTTCGCTCGGTGTCGACTTCCGGCGAACTTCCAGACGGCAACACTTCTCCCTTCATGGGAGTGGACCCATCATTGGAGTCCTTTGTCACACCTTCTGCAGCAGGCAAATCTTCTTCCACTGCAGGGCGATTGAGTCGATCATCCACGGCAGGCACGCTTTCTTCCACCGCAGGCTCCTTTGGTTCCATGGCTTCCAAAGGAGAATTTCCACCATCGTTGACCACAGCTGCCTCATCGGCTCCGGTGTAGCCCTTGCTATTCCGTTCCTCGCGGCTAACTTCAGGTTGCACCAGTGCGTCCACCTGTGAACCTCCATCATCAGCTGCTGCGGAGACCTGCGCCCCATTGTTGCAGTCGCCCGTGGAACGTAACACCATATGCACCTCAACCCGTGCTTCCTTCGCACTCCAGGTAATATCTGGCGCATCGACCCGCGCATCATTGGCGCTCCAGGCCTCATTTTTCAGATCTTCCGTGTCTCCAGCTATTCCAGAAGCTTCTTTTTCCCCTTGAATGGCAGGAATCTTGGCACCAAACGAAGAGACCTCCTCAGTCGCAACACACGACCTTTTCCCTCCGTCTTCCGAATCTCCAGGACCACATTCCTGAACGACAGGTACCACATCCACCACTCGCTCTTCTGCAGCCGACACAGTTCCGATCTCCACATTGGGAATTTTTTCTTCTGGACCTACCGATTCCACCGCTGCCACACCCTCAGAAAGTGCTCCCATTCCTTCCCGATCCAGATGTTGAGCTCCAGCGATGTCTGCTCGGTTTCCAGGAATCTCCTCCTCATCAGGAGAACCCGAGGTCGGGGCGTCACCACCAGCCCTAGGACCGCTATCCCTGATAGTAGAGGAAAAATCTTTTTCACCTAAACTATTTACACTACCCTGGAATGCCCTCGTAGACTCAGTCTTCGGAGTAGAGGATGAAGAATCCAGTGCCGCCTCCATTTCCAGCTCATTGCCCGAAGGAGACCCAACCACCTCGTCACTCTTCATCTTTTCACCTACCACCGGCAATGTCCACTTGCTTTCCTGCGTATCCAGGCAGTAATAATATTGTCTCCCATCTTCATGGAGGTGCCATTCCCACGTTGTCCCATCGCACGCTTTGATCAGATGCTCATCTTTCCGAAAACCATCCCTTTCAGAGACCTGACGCATCTCGTCCTCTTCTTCTGACAACTGTCGCAACCTCTCAGCCTCCATCTGTAGGATCTCCTCCTCCCCCATGGCGTATTCAGCAGCAGGTGCAGCTTCAAAGCTGTCCGCACCCTTCTGTTCGTGACCGCTTCCACCACCTTGGGAACTCGAAGATGGATCCCTTTTGATCTTGTTCAGAGGCCTCCTGGCCGCTTGCAGCACTTCTCCAATCAGATCGGTCTGAGACTCTTGGTCTACCATTCGACCCGAAGTCGAAGTCGACGGCTGATACCCGTGTTTGTGCAACACTCGTAAAACAGTCACCTCCATTTCACGATCTATACCACCAGTCGCGTCCCAGTTCCTTTTCTCACCAGGCTTCGGCGATACAGAGACAGCACGTCCTTCAGCTTCAGTATTGCTAACCATATCCACATTGGGATTCATACCCACATTGGGGCTTTCTGCAACCAAGGCTTCTTCCAGATGTTCTTCAGCGCCGGGAATTCACCTCTTCCAACACCGATCTTTCACCCAGAGACTCAGCTGCACCATTTCCAGCTCCACCATTTTGTCCACCATCCAAGGCAGGTTGGAGCCATCGCTTCGGAGAAGGCATTGCTTCTTGATCCCAAAGATCTTAAGACAACACTCAACCGCAGGGAACCTAATTTGGGCTCATAACCTACGGGGGGACAACCAAGGAAGGAAATCAACTCCCCTAATCGCCCTGAACTTATATTTCCCAGATCGAACCAAGAAACAAACAAGAACACGGATAAGAGCAACCCAGGGGGGAAGGAAAGGGGGAAGGAATCCACACCCTTACCAAACCCTAAGAACCCAGGCACTACTTTTTGAACTTGTGGCTTTCTGTTCAAGCCCATCTTGAGCCAAACATGATTTCCGGGTTCATTAACCCTTCCAACTCTCAACACTAACTCTTTTCTACAATACCAATTGCAGCTCCGCATAGGGTTTAGGGTTTAGGGTTCAGGGTTCAGGGTTCACGGCTCAGGGTTCAGGGTTCAGGGTTTAGGGTTCAGGAGGTTAAAGTCGGGTGTAGGGTTTGTGTAGGGGCATAAAGTTTAAGGTATGGTACTTGGACTAGTTTTTTTCTTGGGGGGGGGGGGGGGGGCTAGTTAGGCGCTTCTGCCAAAGCAAATTGATGGCGTTATTTGACGACTCTCCTTGTTTTACTAGAGGGTTTTCAATCACGTCTGCGTAAACGCTCCTTATACCTTCGGCCCTCAACCCTAAACCCTATGAACCCCGAAGCCTGATCCTTAAAGCCAGCAGGGGTGCCGAAAATTGAGGGCGTTTTTCTGCAGCCCCAGCAGTTAGAGCCTCCAGCAAAAAGAGCCCCAAAGAAAGGCTGCAGGGTTCTGGTTTTCATTAACCCTAAACCCTTAAACCCTAAACACAACCCTAAACCCTAAACCCTAAACCCTAAACCTTGAACCTTGAACCTTGAACCTTGAACCTTAAACCCTAGCCCTACGCCCTCTACGTTGGAGGATCAGGAGGCTTCGTAACTAGCTCTTCACTGGATATTGAAGTAGGCTCACTCACCCTCCCAATCCCTCTTAGGGTGCTTCTTATACATCTGTTTGTGCATACCTACAGTTTAGGTTTTGGGGGGTTCCCCCACCCAGAGGCCTAAACCCTAAGCCCTTAAACCCTAAGCCCTAAACCCTAAGTCCTAAACCCTAAACCCTAAGTCCCAGAAGGGGTTGAGGCTTGAGGGTCATGTTCTCAACGTCTGGCCGGAAACTCAGTTCGGGAATCCTCAAGTTGTAGCAGGGATCCTCTAACATGATTCAAGGAGGCCCAACTTTTCAACTTTTGGGCTTCTTATAAGGTAGTTTATTCTGAAAGTTTCAACTTCTGTTTCCTTGGGTTTCCGGCCAGTAAGCATGATTCAAGGAGGCCCTGAACCCTATAATTCCTAAATCAGGTGACTTGCACCCTACAGCCCAAACCCTAAACCCCAACCCTAAACCCTAAACCCTAAACCCCAAGGGGATGTTGGGGTCTCTTGTCTAGAGGCGGTTTACGTTGTACACCCCAATAGACTCGATAGCTCCGCGGCCCGCACTACTTGGAGGTTCATGGTAAGCCCAACCCCAACTATAACAGGGTTTAGGGTTTCGGGTTTAGGGTCCAGGGTTTATAGGGTTTTCACCCTTTTTTACCGGGCTTTTTGTAGGTTACAAGTAGCTTATAGCTGGGCTTTTGGGTACCACGAACCTGCAAGTAACGGTGCAAGCAGCCTTCCTGGCACTTGAGATTTTGGGGTTTGGGGGTCAGGGTTTAGGGATCATGGTTTAGGACTTGGGTTTGGGGTTCAGGCTTCAGTTTATAGCATTCAGGGTACCGGGTTTAGGTTTTGGGTTTTATGGTTTTGGGCAAAGGGTTTAGGGTTTCGGGTTGCGCGAGCTGCCAAGGATCGAGCGAAACAAGCTTCTTGGCTGACAGTTCTAGACTGACTTGCAAGGTCTGCCTCACCCTAAACCCTAAACCCTGAACCCTGAACCCTGAACCCTAAACCCTACACCACGGCTTCATCCCCAGAGGTGTTCTCAGCAAGGAGTTAGGGAGTTCTAGGTACCATCTACAAAGCCTGCAGAAGTATCACAGGGGAATAATGTACTCAATGCAAGGAGGGGCCTCCCCCCCTACTAGACTAGCTTCAGTTGACTAGTTCAAGGGCTTAGGGCTTAGGGCTTAAGGTTTAGGGTTTAGGATTTAGGATTTAGGGTTTAGGGTTTAGGGTTTAGGATGTCACATACAGTCAGTTTGGGGTCCTCATGATGCTTCATATGAGCAGGCGGCGCCCTCCTTGGGGCTGATCTCGTGCTCTTGCTTATAGCCGAGGCTCTTGGCAGAGGTTTGGGGTTTAGGGTTTAGGGTTAGGGTTTAGGGTTATACCCCCCCCCCCCTGCCTACAACTTGTCAGCAAGTCTCATGAAGCTTCGCTAGATTCCTAAAGCTCCAAGCCCCTAGCCTAAACTAAACCCCCAGCCCTCGACCCAAACCCCAGGCCCTAAAATCCTAAAACCCAAAACCAAAATCCTAAACACCAAGGCCCAACCCTAAACCCTACAGCCCAACAGCCCTACAGCCCTCAGCCTTGACCCTAACCCTGGACCCTATGAAGCCAGACCCGAAATCAGGCTTGTAGCGCTCATCACCATCGAGGTCCACGCGCGTGACGTCCAGGATCGCATGATCGCCCGGGCCCCGAGTGGGGCTAAGGGAACGGGCTCCCTGCATCTGGAGATCTTTAAGGTTTAGGGGTTCAGGGTTTCGTATTTAGAGTTTGGGGTGTAGGGTTTAGGGTTTAGGGAGAGTAGGACCCCAACACTAAGAGGAGCTCGAAATTGTCACATCTGCCCCAGAGATTCAAGCGCTGAAGATCAGGCATCAGCCCTCCAAGCATGAAGCCACACAACCCTAAGGCCTAAACGGCTTTGTGGTCTCCCGAGGTTCAGGCTGTAGGGTTTAGACTTCACCAAGACCCAAAACCCTCCAATATGGGTTTAGGGTTGAGGGTTTAGGGTTGAGGGTTGGGGGTTTAGGGGTGAATGCCCCTAAAGCCCTACAGCTCAAGCCAGCCCAGGCACAGAAGACGGAGTCGCCAAGCAACTTCAACTGGACTTCCCAACTCCGCTTCGAGTTGAGAGAGAGCCAGGAGGACGTGAAGCCACCTCAAACCCTAAACCCCAAACCGTAAACCCTAAACCCCCAGAGTTTAGGGCTGTAAGGCTGGGGGTAGCCCATGAGTGTAGGGATGAATCTAGCTCTTGGGTCTAGATGTGGAAGTTGTTCGGCAAGGAAAGAAAGCATGTGGCAAACGACGCCTGGAGATCTGATCAGGGGCAGCGATTTGCCAGGATCTTGATGCAGCGGAGCCCTACACACTCAAACCCGAAACCCAAAAAAACGTAGAAGCCCCCAAAACCCCAAAACCCTAAGACCCTAAACCCTAAAAACCCAAGACCCTAAACCCAATGAACCCTTCTGACAGGATGTTGTCAGCGGTCAAGCGGCGGTACCGACCTGCTGGGTGCTGCAGACGAACACCACGGCCCCCTATGGTTCCTCGCGCGTGTCTAGGGCTTTAGGGGGTGAAGGGTTTTAGGGCTTCAGGTGTTAGGCGTGAGGTTGTAGGGTGTTAGGGGAGTGTAGTGGCCTGGAAGGTTGTATATAGGATTTAAGAGTTTTGTGGCTTTAGGTTTTAGGTTCTTAGGGTTTTAGGTTTTAGGGCTGTTAAGGCTTTAGGGTTTACCGGGCTTAGGTTTCACTTATTGAGGCTTAGGGGATTTGTTAAGGGTGTAGATTTTAAGATCTTTCATTGCGTAGAGTTTGGGGCTTAGGCCTGAAGGTCAGGGTTTGAGAACCACGAGCTAGGTCGCCAGCCTGGAGAGAGCAAAACCACCAGGTACTTTCTTTCGGGATATGGGTTTTGGGCTGCCTAGTAAGATTGAAAGGGTGTCTGTGTTGTCTTGTTTGCTTTCAGGGCTTAGGGTTTAGAGTTTTTGTGTTAGGGTTTGGGTTTGTAAATGCTGGTTTCAATCTCAATCTTCCAAGTCTTGTGCTGTGGGTTTTGGGGCGGCTTAGGTCTAAAACCCTAAACCTACCGTGCATCCTCGCGAACCTGGAATGCAGAACTTTGCCTCAAGCTCCCCATAACCTGATCATAAGGCAGCCAACCTAGAACCCGCAGGCGTGCTGCCATAACTGAATTTTTTGGGGTGTTCCCTCTACTACTAACATTCCTTAATCGGGACTCTAAGACGGGGTACTATAATCCCTATCCAGGACTGTTGGTAAAAAGGGGGAACATCCCTGCGAAGCCCTCGAGCTGGCGAAGCCCTGCAATGCTTTTCAAACCCCGCCAATATAACTCGCAAAATGCTCCAAGCCCTACTTGGACGTTCATGGGCCCAAGATTAGTCTACGCATAGCCGACTAAGGGGACTTAGGGGGCTTAGAAGTTCAGTTTTTTGGGTTTGTACGCACCCATGAACTCCCTAACCCCTAAACCCTAAACAGTTCGCTAAGCCCAAAACCCTAGGAACCCAATCAAGTCCTTTTTGCCCAGGCTATGAGTACCAGGGCAACAACGGCCGATTGGTGGTCACCCCGATGACGGATCGATGCTACATGAGCCTCACCCCCGATCGAGGGGGTTTGAGCTTGGGGAGGGTTTAGGGTTGAGGGTCTAGGGTCTATGATTGAGGGTTTGCGGATCTATGGGTTTGAGGGCTTTCGGAGCTTAGGGAGTTTGCTTCGAGTTTAGGGCTTAGGGCAGAGAACTCAGGGCTCAGGGCTTAGGGCTTAGGGTGCTGAGGACTTGGGTTTGGGGCTTAGGGCTGCTCGTTTAGGGTGAGAATGCATGGAGTTGAGGCTCTGTAGAGAATGAAGGAATTAGGCACCTTACATCCCCTATGCCCTGCAAGGGGTTCTATAAGGCACCTAAGTCCCTCATTCCCTACGAAGATGGGCTAGGGGTTGAGGGTTGGGGCATGTCCAGCAACTTCGGGCTTTGGCACGTCGGTTCTTGGGGGATTCTGAAGCTGTTTATGGTTTAGGGTTAGGACCTTCGGATTCAGGGTGTAGGGTTTAGGCTGTAGTCACTGTGGCAGCAGGCTCAAGCTCCAGAGAGACGTGTGTTGCCGGGCCGTTGGGACATGCCGTGCTTCCTGGGGGACTGGTTGTAGAGCTCAAGGGTCAGGTTTAGGGTGTAGGTTTTAGGTTTTAGGGTTTAGGGTTTAGGGTTTAGGGTTTAGGGTTTAGGGTTTAGGGTAAATCTGTTCAGGGTTTCGGGTTCCTTGGGATGTGACGAAGAAGGAGGTCCTAGGTTGGAGGTTCTTGGGAGAACTATCGAATTGCGGCTGGGCGCAGTCGAAAGAGCCACTACTGGGGGGGGGGGGGGGGGAAAGGCTAGGGTTTGAGCTTGCGTTTAGGATTTCGGCCTAGGGTTTAGGGTTCAGGTTTAGGGTTTGAGGCATCCCGATTCCGATTGTGCCTGCTCATACTCAGGACGCTGACGACGGAGCCTTGGCATACCACAGACGAGCTTTAAGCCCCTGAGCACCGTAAGAAAGCTAAACCCTAAACCCGGAAGGTAGGGTCTAGTGCCTTTACAGCCGAAGCCCTGCATTAGGCAATAGGGTCAGCAGCACACCCCACAAGCAGGTTCAAGTTCTTCAGACGAGATCCTTTACGATGACCCCAGGACATAAGGTTGTAGGGTTTAGAGTTTAGGGATTTAGGATTTAGGATTTAGGGTTTGGGGGTTGAAGGATGACCTGGCTTAGGGTTTCGGGTTTGGGCTGGATTGTTTCGGGGGGAATAGCCTGTACGATCATCGCTGCCGACTTTGCACTAAGCCCCGTTTTCGAAGGGAATCCTATTACTTGGAATCAAAATTCGGGGGTCCTTTTTTGGTATTGTAAACCCCCCAAATCAGGGCTTCTGTGAGGTGCCTAATTCCCGACACCTTCCCTACAAAGAGCCAGTAGGTTCAAGCCCAAACTCCCTCACCCCCCTCAACCGCAAAACTACTCCCAGCAACGAGGCTTTGTTTCTCGGGTTTAGGTTTTTGGGGTTTAGGGTGGCGAAGCCTCAAGAACCTGTCAAGGCCAGGCGCGGGGTTCTAGATGAACCCAAGACCCCTGAGCCCTAAACCGTAAACCCTAAACCCTAAACCCTAAACCCTAAACCCTAAGGGCTGTTCAGGAGCTGTGGTCCTTATTCAACCCCCTAAATCCCATGAAAGCTCTACAAAGACACACACACACACACACAGAGATCCCAAGCCCCAAGCCCCGAAGCCTTAAGCCCTAAGCTCTAAACCCTATAAAGCCCAAAAGCTCCTAATACGCACGCGGTTCGCAGCGAAGGCGATGCATCTCAAACGTGGCGGCGCCCCAGCTGGACCTGCGGGAACCGGAAAGACCGAGTCGGTGGCGCGGCCGTGGAAAGGGACCCTGATTCCAAAATTCCCTAAACCCTACCCTGACTGTCCATGTAGTACCTAATCATTATAATCATGGGCCCCAAGTGCCCTACTCAAGTATTCCCTATTCAGTATGGGTGCTGGGATTTCCTTTAGTAAGCCTCTTGGGGTATGAGGGTAAATGATGTTCAAACTTTTGGGACTTCACTGTAAACCGCTTGGTAGCCCAGTGGTGCCCCTCTTCCCTTTCTAAAGAAATGGTCATCCTTCTTGTAAGATGGTTACTGGGCTCTTGAGAAACCCGACTAAACCCTAAACTTAACCCGCGACCGTAAACCGAGGGGTGTTAAAAGTGGTTGGCTGGGAGTTGTAGGGCTTGTAGTAGGGTTTGTGGAGTTTAGGTCGGGGTTTTCGAGAGGATTGTGGGTTTAGGGCTTAGGTTGCCGGCATTCATTACTTTGGGGGGGGGGGGGGGGTGTTCGAGGTTCACAGCGTCGAACGAGCGATTGGGAACCAAAGCGCGCGACGCCCTAGGTTCTGAGTAGGAAACCTCTACGAAACATTTCCGCGGGTACTACAAAGCACCTGAGAAAATCAGCCAGCGACCCCGCCACCCCAAAACCTTAACTTACGGGCAAGAGAGCTTCGGACGGTTTTGTTTAAGGCTTTCGATCCCCTAGGCATCAGGTTCGAGAGGCTTATCCGGCTAGGTGCTTTCGTTGGGGTTATCCTACCATTTTGCCGTCGAATGACCTAGATGTTGAGTCCCCCTGGACCCTCAAGTGCAGCCTTTCGCCACCTTCCAGCAATCACTAAACCCTAAAACCCACATAGAGGCGACAGGCACCCCAAACCCTAAACCCTAAACCCTAAACCCTAAACCCTAAGCCCTAAACCCTAAACCCTAAACCCTAAACCCTAAACCCTAAACCCCCAGAAGCACCAAGCCCAGGTCGACTACCCTGCTTAGTCCTCAAGAAACGCCATGTTGGCTTCAGGTTTAGGGTTTAGGGTTTAGGGTTTAGGGTTTAGGGTTTAGGGTTTAGGGTTTAGGGTTTAGGGTTTAGGGTTTAGGGTTCTGCGCTTTCCTCTGCCGGCTACACGCCTTCTCGCTTTTTTGCCAACTCCGGTCTTTCCAACCAGCGCCCCCTTTGGAAACGGGAAACCCCAAACCCTAAACCCTAAACCCTAAACCCTAAACCCTAAACCCTAAACCCTAAACCCTAAACCCTAAGAGGTTTGCAGATTCAGGGCCCTAAACCCTAAACCCTACACCCTGAACCCTAAACCGTAAACCCTAAACCCTAAACCCTAAACCCCAAACCCTAAACCCCAAACACGGCCAAGGTGAAAGACTTGGGTAAGGGCATGGCCATGTCTCACGGCAGAAAGGGGGCTCAGGGTTTTACTTGATCAGTGTTAGAGATCCTCTTTACTTCTTGGGTTATGGGCTTTCTTATATATGAACAAAAAAGAATCCTTGTTTTCTTCCTAGGGGGGAACAGGGATGAAGCTTAGGGCTCAATTAGGGCTTATAGGCTGTTAGGGGGTTTGCAGGAAACTGCAGAAAGAGTTGGAGCAGGGTTTAAGGATGGTCAGAGCTGGGATTCCCTTTCGTATACCTTTTGGGGGTATGGGGATGAGGATGTTCCAACTTTTGGGGGTTTACTGCAATGAGTCTCGATCTGAGTAGGGGAGAGGGGTTAGGGATGTAGGATTCAAGGGTTAGGTCAGGGAGAAGGTCGTTTTTTGCGACATTCTTGGGGGTCCTGAACCAGAAAAAGACCCTAAACCCTAAACTTTAAAGCCCTAAACCACCTTTAAACCCTAGACCCGAAACTTGAAACCTTAAACCCCAAATCTAAGACCCAAGCCTGAACCCCTAAACCCTCTGAGGAGAAGTCAAAACGATACAGCTCCCGCATGCCCAAAGTGCATCCACGTACCTATGTAGTCTACGGGTGGGTTCAGGGTTTAGGGTTTAGGGTTTAGGGTTCAGGGATTGGGGAGGAATACCTGTGCAGTAGCTTTAGGGCTTTAGGGCCCAATGGACCCTCACCAGGATTGAATTCCTGAACCCTAGGCTTAACCCCTCCCCTAATGGGCCAACGCCCTAAAGGGCCACCGAATTGTCGCCGCTCTTTTTTGGGAAAGGTACGTCATCGTCTTCAACTGCTCTGACGGCCTGGACTATAAGCTCCTTTGGCTTCCTCTTTAGGGTTTAGGGTTCAGGGTTCAGGGTTTTGGGTTTAGGGGCCATTTCTGGTTTGGGGTTTCGGGGCTAGGGTTGGGGCTTGAGGGTTTAGGGTTTAAGGATTAGGGTTTTGGGTTTTGGGTTGAGGGTTCGGGCTTTAAGGTTTAGGGTCTAGGGTTCAGGGCCTTGAGCGTGAAGGTTCTAAGGTTTAATTGCCTTTGTGTTACAGTTCAGCGCTTGGGTGTGGGATTTATGTTTAGAGTTCAGGCACCTCGGGTGCGGGTTTTTGGGTTTTTGGACTTAGGTTTAGGGTTTAATTCGGGTTTTGGGCTTAGGGTTAGGGTCCCACCGACCTGGTCTCGAGCAACGTCCGTAAACCCTTTTAGGGTTTCGGGTTTAGGCACAACAAAAAACCATGTGCAAGCAAGAAGAAGCTGATGGGGTTTCCGACATGGGGCGGGTGCCCATTCTGCGGGGGGGGGGGGGGGGGGGGCATGTTCCTATAACGAGGGTTATGCCATGTTGGGATAACTCTAACACCCTAAAAATCTAAAAACCTAAACCCGAAGCCCTTTGTCCCTGATCCCTAGGAAGGTTCCTCCAATTAGGGTTACATGGTTATACATTTTTGGGGAAGGGATGGGGATTTCTGGAAACCACCAGAGGGCTCGAAATGCCTGCTACTCGACATCTTCAACCATAAGCCCTAAGCCCTTTATCCCTAAACCCAAAACCCTAAGCCCTCCATCCCTAAACCCTAAACCTGTGACCCGAAACCCCCGAAGCCCTCTATCCCTAAACCCTCAACCATCCAACCCCGTACCCTAAACCCTTTAATTTATCCCTACAACCTAAACCCGAAGCCCTAACCCTAAACCCTAAATCAAGTCCTAAACCTCCTAAACACCCGAAGCCCTCCACACAGTTGAGGTCACTGGGGCGCATGTTCAGCGGCTTGGCTCAGCGCCTCGCCTGAAGTTCTTGCGGCGAATGTCAGGCACAGGGTTGTTGGTTTGGGGTGTAGGATTTAGGGTTTAGGGTTTCGGGTTTAGGCTCAAGACCTTAAGACTCTAAACATTAAAGGGTGTAGGGTTTAGGGACTAGGGTTGAACTAGGGTTGATGGTTCGGGCTCACGGCTTAAGGCTCCAGTAGACCGAGCAATGCTGCGCAGCCTCGATGACGACTTGCCCGACAGACCAACACCAAGCTTGCATGCCAGTGTCTCGTTGACAGAAGGGCTGCTGCAACAGGACATCCAGCCTAAAGCCCAAACCCCTAAACCCTAGTAATCCCTTCACCGTAAACCCTAAACCCTACAAACCTGCACACATGCCCCCAAACTGAAACCCCCAGCCCTGCTTGAGAGAACTGCAGAATTCCGCTCCACTCAAGACTGCCAAAGATGGCTTTGGGTTGAACCCTTCAGGGTTTAGGGTTTATAGGGTTAAGGGTAGTAAGTCCCACATTTCAGGGTTGAGGGTTTATGGGTCTTGGATCTTCGTTCGTGTCAGGAAGAGGACTTAGCACTCAGGGGTTATAGGCTAAGTGGCACTTAGTGAAGGTCCGACCTTTTTGGTAATAGGTATCATGTCGGGTGTTCTCAAAACCGCGCTGCCTTCTTGGAGGTGTGCGCTTTGAATTTGGGTTTACGGTCTTGGGGTTTGAGCAGACCCTCGCGGTGGGAGCCACACCTAGTAAGGGAAACCCGGTAAGTTGCGTTAAGCAAGGGCCGAAACCCCAAACCCGATACCCTAAACCCTAAACCCAAGTTCCTAAACCCCTAAACCCCAAACCCTAAACCGCAGCTCCCACTCCCTCGGCTTTTTCAAGGCCACACCGGTTCTTATACCTTCTCGGAGACCTAAACCCTAAATCACTACTTCGAAGTTTAGGTAGTTTAGGTAGTTTAGGTAGTTTAGGGTTTAGGGTTTAGGGTTTAGGGACCCCTACAGCCTGCGTCTGGGGACCATAGGTGCGGTTGCTGGGGCTGCTTCGATGAGTTCAACCGAATCGACGTCTCGGTGCTGCTCCCTGGCGCAACTTCAGCTTGGGTAGCTTCGGGGATTGTTGTTGTGGGGGGTTTAGGGTTTAGGGTTTAGGGTTTAGGGTTTTAGGGTCTAGGGTTTAGGGTTTAGGGGTAAGGGTTTAGGGTTTAGGGTTTAGGGTTTAGGGTTTAGGGTTTAGGGTGCAGCTTCAGCTTGGGTGGCTTCCGGGATTGTTGTTGTGGGGGTTTGGGGTTCGTAAGGGTTTAGGGTTTAAGGTTCAGGGTTTGGGGTTTAGGGTCTAGGCTCCCTGCCGCAGCCTCAGCTTGGGTGGCTTTCGGGATTTTCAGTTTTCCGTGCTTTGGGTTATGAGTTTAGGGTTCAGGGTTTAGGGCCTCAGGGTGTGTTGTGGTTTGGCTTGTGGTTTGGTTTTGGGCCCTTGTATATAAGGTTATATATGGGTTAGGGTTCAGGGTTTAGGGTTCAGGGTTAGGTTTTAGGGGTTTAGGGGTTTAGGGTTTAGGGTTTAGGGCTTAGGGTTTAGGGTTTAGGGTTTAGGGTTTAGGGTGGATGAAGGGAAGTTTTTAGGGTACCACCTTACGGCTGCGAAACATGTAAATCACTACCAGGTCCGTCGTCGCAGTGCAGATCATGACCATCCAGAACGCGCTGACACTTTGCTGCCCTAGGGACTAACCCTAAACCCGAAACCCTAAACCCTAAACCCTAAACCCTCTTGTGTGAGCGCCAACCCTGTATCTTAGGGTAGTTACATGGTCCCGTAATGTGGCCTTTAAAGGGGACCCCTTACATACCCGACAAAGCCCAACAGCCCACAATTTCAGAACGGACCATACTAAGGGGCCATATTCCGACCCTTAGATTGGAATTGCAGAAGGTGCCCACTGAAGAAAGCCCCGAGCTTGCCAAACCCTAAAAGTGTCCCTCGTCTCATAAAGTTCTTCCCTCCACTTCGACAATTACCCCCCCAGATTCTGGGGCCTAGAAGGGACTTAGTAGTGAATGTATCTTAGGTTTAGATCGCCTTTACCCTTTTGGCCGTACTGCAAAGGCTGAAGGCCCGTTCCCCTCAGAAGCGCACGCAGCCAGTACGATTAGGGTTTGGGGTTTTCAGGGTTTAGGGTTTAGGGTTAGGGTTTAGGATTTGGGGTGCATGATGAAGGGTTAAGGATATTTGAAATTAGACTTCAGGGCGCAAGGTATCGAAATGAGATCAAGCAGCCTTGGTTGTCACCCAAAACCTGACAATTCGCGCGAGGAAGGAGGAGAGGGAGAAGTTCATGTTCGAGGCACGGAAAACCCGCCTAAACCCTGAACCCCCCAAACCCTAAACCCTACACCCAAAACCCTTAAACCCCAAGATTCGCCCCCTTTCGAACCCACATGCCCCAAATAGTTTCAGGGTCTAGGGTTTAGGGTTTAATTAGAGTTTAGGGAAACAAAGGGGCGGAGATATCTGCTTGAATTAGCCAACCCCCCCCCCCCCCCAACCCCCCACCAACCTCTATAAACCCTAAACATGGATACCCTAAACCTTTCAGTTTTTGGGGTTTAGGGTTTCCAAGTGTGGACATGAGGGTTTAGGGTTTAGGGCTTAGGTCTTCGTAATAAACTTCATTGTGGTCCCTATAAATATTCTAGATTATCCCCCAACAGCCCATGCTAATTGCTAAGGCCCCCGGTTGTGCCCTTGTTCCTGATTTTTTGCTTTGGGGTTTTGGGGTTTAGGGTTCAGGGTTTAGGGTTTAGGGTTTAGGGTTCGTTACATCTAATCCTCATGGAACCCAGGAGACTGGTTTGAAGTCATCTTATGAAGGGTTTGGGGCGGGGGCAAATTCCTCAGCCCTGAACTTCTTGGTCCTACACCCATCTAACGACACATTTGTGTGTGTGTGTGTATGTGTGTATGTGTGTGTGTGTATATGTGTGCCTTTTTCCTGTCGGTTTCCCGTCGTCTTACGTGCTACTTAGTCTTTGCCCCTCTGAAAGCTAGTCCGGTAAGTTCACCCTGGGGGGATCGCTCAAAGGTCAACATCTATTCGCCATCAATCGCCTAGGCTTGCCCCATCCCAGTCCCATGGAGGGCACATGAAGCAGGGTTTATACTACCGTTTTTGGTGAGTGTGTATAAGGTTCCTTTTTAATATTGGTGAGTGTATATATTGGGTGTCCTTTTGGGAGCATAAGCAATATAAACCCTACTTCATATGGTACAACCTTCAACTCGAAGCCCGGGACCCCTAAGCCCTGAAACCCTGGGGGTCTCTGCGAGCCTCAAGGCATCTCCAAGCAAGACCCTAAACCCTAAACCCTAAACCCTAAACCCTAAACCCTAAACCCACAAGAGCAACCCTGGGGGCAGGAGATCCTCATCAGCTTGAAGCGCACCTGTGCCGTCACTCTTCGATGATTGGGAGTGCAGCTGTGGGTTTATGGTTCAGGCAAGGGAAAGGTTTAGGGCTTAGGGTTTAGGGTTTAGGGTTTAGGGTTTGGGGTTTGGGGTTTGGGGTTTAGGGTTTAGGGTTTGGGGTTTAGGGCTGGCACCTGGTCCAGCTTCAATCTCCAGGTGCCGCTGCAGACTCTGTGTAGTCTCGAAGCCTAACAACCCCAAACCTTAAACCCTAAACCCTATAAGCTACTAGTTCCCCAAAAGCCGAAGTGAGTTACCCGCCTGGACCGGCTACTCAGGTCTTCATCACCATGAACCCCGGCTACGCTGGGCGGTCGGAGCTGCCAGATAACCTGAAGGCCAAGACTTTTGTTGGTGCTGAGGGTGGGGGAGTGGGGTTTTAGGTTTAGGGCCTGGGGTTTAGGGCTTTGAACTGCCATTTCTAGGACCCAGAGTAGGTGTTTTTTAGCTTTTTTTTTCAGGGTATAGGTGCCCTTATCTGCCCCTGGGATCTTGGCAGCCTTTTGATTCCTAGGTTGCTCTTGGGCTTAAATCCCAAACCCTAAGCCCGAAACCCATTGCGGTTACGGCTTGTGTGTTTGTAGCTTGGCTTGTGGGCTTGCATTGGACTAGGGCTTTGGGTTTTAAGGTTTAGGAGTTGGGATGTTCCCCTTCTACTAACAGTCCTGAATAGGGATTATAGTACCCCGCCAATATAATCCCTAGTACGGACTGTTAGTATAAAGGGGAACATCCCAATGTAGGAGGGTATAGGGAAGCTGCATCTTCAATCCTAACGGAGCCCTCAGCCCTCAACCCCTAAACGCCAAACCCCAAATGCCACAAACCCTACTAGCGCAAGCCCGAAACCCTAAACCTCAAACCCTAATTACTCACTCCCCCCTAAACACTGAAACTCTAGAAAACTCTAGACCCGAAACCCTGAACCCTGAACCCTAAACCCTAAACCCTAAACCCTAAACCCTAAACCCTAAACCCTAAACCCTAAACCTAAACCTAAACCCTAAATCCTAAACCCTAAACCCTAAACCCTAAACCCTAAACCCTAAACCCTGCCCAACCCCAACACCGGCAACCCGAAGCCAGGCACTGTTCCGACCGGTGGCCATGATGGTCCCAGACTTGGCCATGATCATGGCCCCTCGGCCTTGAGCTAGGGTTTAGGGCTGATGATTTAGGGTTTAAGGGTTCAGGGTTTATGGTTTAGGGTTTAGGCTTAGGTTTAGGTTTTAGGGTTTAGGGTTTAGGGTTTAGTGATTATAAGTGTTTACGGTTTAGAGCGGGTCAGGGCGTGTCGAAGTTTTGGTTTTGTCTTGGGTTTTGGAGGTTAGGGGTTCGGGGGGGGTTGTATTTTGGGTTTTTAGGGTTTGGGGCTTGCAGGGTTGAAGATTTTTTTGTTTGGTGAGGTTTATGGGGGGTGGTTATGGGGGCGTATAGGGTTTTTTGGGTTACACAGGGCGTATCGGGCTTGTAGGGCTTAGGGGGTGGAGGTTTGGTTTGGGGTTTAGGGTTAGCCTGTGGTTGGGCTTTGTTCGGGGTTTAGAGGTTTACGGGTTTTGTTTTACTCATTTGTTTTTTTTTTTAGTTTTTTTTTTTTTTTTTTTTGGGGGGGGGGGGGGGGGGCCTCACGAAGATGAAGATGAAGGGGTTTGGGAACTACGGGTTTAGAGTGTTTCTGTTTTGAGTTCAGGCTTTAGATTTTGGGATCTTGGTACTAGATTAGGTGTTCTGAATGCGTCATCTGGTTTGAGGAGGGCTGTAGGTTTAGGGTATTGGGTCAAGGGTTTCGGGTTGAAGGCATGATGACTTTCAAGGTGAGGAAAACGCAAACAAGTGAGAACGCATAGAGCGCTATACTACGGCAAGTGTCCCTCATCAGTAAGGCCTGAAAGGTACTTATGTCCTCTCCTCGCTCTTTTTTGTCGCCTTGTTGGCGTTCACCTAGCAATCAAGTTCATCAGCACTGGTGAATCCTGCAACGAAGATCGCGTGAAACCAGCGAATCGTTCTCCTAAACCCTAAACCCTAAACTCTAAACCCTAAACCCTAAACCCTAAACCCTAAAGCACCAACTCCAGTCTCCCAAAAGCCCTCTAAGCCCTACAGGCCCCTAAACCCTGCACCCTCTGCCCAACATGTTGGGGCTTTCAGGGGCATCAGGGGGCCCAGAGTGGATCCCCATAATTGCGGTTTAGGGTTTGGGGTTTAGGGTTTAGGGTTTAGGGTTTGGGGTTTGGGGGTTTGGGGGTTTGGGGTTTGGGGTTTAGGGTTTTTAGGGAGTTTTAGGGTTTTTAGGGTTTTCAGGGTTTTTAGGGTTTAGGGTTTAGGGTTTTTAGGGTTTAGAGGTTTGCAGTGCCTGCCTGCAAAAGCCCGCGCTTGCCCAGGAAATCATGTTGGTCTCCGAAGGCCCGGGCCTAGGGTTTAGGGTTCTCCTCCACCCCCACAACCTGAACCAACCCCCTGCCCTAGAGCCTCAGCCGCAACACTGGCAACCCGAAATCCGACAGCCCCTCAATTCTACACCCTAAAACACTAGAACCCTAAACCCTAAACCCGCCCAAAATTCCCCAACGAGGACGCCAACGTTTTTAGGGCCTAAAAAACATAGAGACAAAACACCCAAGCCCCAAACTGGGTTTAGGGCAGTCAGGGATTGAGTTTTAGGGTTTAGGGTCTATGGGTTAAGGGTTTCATCCCCAACCTTGAAACCTTAAACCCTAAGCCCTGTCAGTGTCGGGGTTGAGGGGCTTTGCCCCACGGTGGGCTTTAGGGTTAGGATGTACGTTGAGGGATCCAAGGGTGCTATGGGTTTAGGGTTTTGGGGTTGGGTTTAGTTATAGGGTTCAGGGTTTAGAGTCTTAGAGTGTACGGTGTAGGGTTTAGGGTTTAGGGTGCAGTTTCTGCGTAAATGTGTCGGACATGGGTTTTGTTTGTATACATATGGGCTCTTAAGGCTAGTCGGATTAGAGGTCCTAGGGGGTTCCTGCTACGAAGACCCGAAACCCTAAACCCTAAACCCTAAACCCTAAACCCTAAACCCTAAACCCTAAGCCCTAAACCCTAAACCCTAAACCCTAAACCCTAAACCCTAGACCCTAAACCCTAAACCCTAAACCCTAAATCAACGGCTGGCGCAAGGCTTCAAGGACTTCAAGATGCTAGCGAAGAAGAAGTCCCCCTGACAGCGCTTGGAACTTCCATCCCGCGTTCGGTCGGTTGATTTTGTGGTTTAGGGTGTAGGTCCCAAAGGATCCATGTACCTATATGGTATATACTTGGGCCTTAAAGGGGTTCCTATATAGTAGCTTTAGGGCCCAAGTATCTACTATATAGGTACATGGATCCTTTGGGGGTCTGAATGCTAGTTGATGTGAGGGTTAGGGCTTACGTTTGTGTATTTGAGGGTTCAGGTTTAAGGTTGGGCGTTTAGGCTTAGCGGCCTGGGCCCTAGACCCACAACTCTAAACAAAGCCTCTTTGGGTTTGCCAAGGCGTTCTCACCCCAAACCCGAAACCCTAAGCGCTAAACCCTAACCCTAAACTCTAAACCCCAAACCGCCGAGGTTCACGCTGTACCAGATGATGCTCCAGCAAATGCCACTTGGCGCAGGGACTCGGACGTGGGATCCTAGATATGATGCCCTGAGCCCGAAGTCCTAAAATCCTAAACCTACTTGCGTGGGCAAGTTGGGTTTCGGGACAAGGGTCATGGGTTTAGGGTTTATGGTTACAGTTTAGGGTTTAGGGTTTGAGGCTTAGTGTTTGTGAATAGGGCCAAAATCCGGAATGAATCCTGCAGCAGGGGTTGTTGCAGCCCGGGCCCTGGTTAGTAATCCTTAAGCCTGAAACCCTAAGAGCCTTAAACCCTGAAACCCTGAACCTCCAAACCCCAAAACCCTAAAGACCCAAAACCCCAATGCCCTGAAACCCTCAACCCTAAGTCCCTGAAACCCTAAAACCCTAAATCACTGAAATCCCTGAAACCGTAAACCCCAAACCCTAAGCCCTAAGCCCTAAACCCTAAACCCTAAACCCTAAACCCTAAACCCTAAACCCTAAACCCTAAACCCTAAACCCTAAACCCTAAACCTAAAGCTCAAACCCTAAACCGTGGAAACCCTAAAAGAAGAAGAAGAAGAAGCTCCGCAGGTCCAAGCAGCACCACTACGACTTCGGTCTCCGTAACATCAAGTCTGTGCTGGGCTGTGCCGGGGCACTGAAGCGAAAGGCGCCCGGGTTTAGGGTTCAGAGTTTAGGGTTTAGGGTGTCGGACCCTGCATTCCCAGGAAGCCGAGTGGCCGATTTATAAAGCAGACCTTCGCACGGAAGAAGCCCTAAACCCTAAATCCTAACCCTAAACCCCAAACCCCAAACCCAAGCCCCAAGCCCCAAGCCCCAAGCCCCAAACCCCAAACCCCGACTCCCATACGCAAAGTACGTTGAATTTCAAGCCTCAGTCCTAAACCCTAAAACTGCCCTAGTTCTAAACCCTACAACCTACCTTGTTTACTGGATCCCCAATACGGGCCCTTTATTGTATAACCCTTATATACACGATGTACAAGTAGAGCCCATACTTCGGATCCCTTTTAACAAGGGTAAGGGGCCACTCACGGCCCATTGTTCCAACCTTAGACTTTTTTGTAGGTTACCCAAGAATCCGATAGGGGGTATCACCATACAGAAATCTAGGTTTTGGGCCTAAGCCCTATAGAAACCCTACAGGTTTCCTAAGATACCCACCTACAAAACGTACGTTTTGGTTGCTGTTAAGGCAAACTGTTCAACCCTAAACCCTAAACCCTAAACCCTAAACCCTAAACCCTAAGCCCTAAACCTGCTCGCCCCAAAAGAACCGGTCTGGAGGCCGACCCGGACACGCCGGAGCAGATTCTGCTCATGCGCGCCATCAACGAGTCTCGGGGGGAAGAAGGGCTTGGGGTTTAGGGTTTAGGGTTTAGGGTTTAGGGTTTAGGGTTTAGGGTTTAGGGTTTAGGGTTTGGGGTTTAGGGTTTATAGGTGTCGGGTTCGAGTTTTGTTTTTGGGCTTTGGGGTCTTTTAGGGCTCAGGTTATTGGGAAGCCCGAAGCCCGAATCCCTAAAGGGTTCTAAGCTTGGCCTCTAAGGTTTATATGGGGTTCGGAACAAATGCTAATATTCCCTTACGGTCCCTATAAAAAATCTGTAATATCCCATCAAAACCCTTCTCCCTAAACCATTGTTCTGATCACGAAAGGCCACCCTAAACCCTAAACCCTAAACCCTAAACCCTAAACCCTAAACCCTAAACCCTAAACCCTAAACCCTCTTGCTCCGTAGGCTTGGGCTTCAGGTTCAGAGGCATCGGGTCGGTCCAAGGGGCCGAAATACCTGCGAAATCAAGTCAAAGGTGCCCTGAACCGGGGCTTTGGGTTTAGGGTTTAGGGTTTAGGGTTTAGGGTTTAGGGTTTAGGGTTTAGGGTTTAGGGTTCTGGGGATGAGAGCGATGCCGCGGCCTCGCCCTTGTGCGCCCCCGCACCACTGGCCGACGGCAAGCCGAACTTCGGCGCGAAGACGACCCGAGACTCAAAGAGGATGTGGCCAAGAAACTGGCCGAGAGCACATGCCGACGCCTGGTGATGAGAAACCCTAAAGCCTGAACCCTGAACCCAGAACCCTGAACCCTAAACCCCAAACCCTAACTACCCTGGGAGAGTTGCGCAGAATGGACCAAACAACTGGACCAACTCAGGGACTGTATCGAAAACCTGGGAGAAGGCTCGTCGCCAGGCATTGATGTGGTCCTACAGTCGATTCGGGAAGGGATTGATGCCGAGGACAAACACTTCGGCGAACTCTAAGAACCCTAGGAACCCGAAACCCTAAGAACCCCAAACCCTACAAACCCTAAACTAGCGATTTGTTTCAGAACGTTTTGTCCTTGGGGGGCACTGTGATGACTGAAGGCCTCAGCCCCACCCTAAGCCCTTCATGACTTAAGTCCCTAAACCCTAAACCCTATAAAGCCCTAAACCGTCCATTTGGGCCCCAAGCAGGATTGGTGGGGGACCCGTTTCGGGAAGGGCTTTCTGGTTCTGAGGGTTCTTGGGGTTCTTAGAGCCCTTGGGGTTCTTGTTGGGGTTTAGGGTTTAGGGTCTAGGATGCCCAGTAGTGCCCTTATTCCCCTTTTTTGGGGGGTTACAGGGTGGGGCCCCCTTACTATACTAACTGTAGTTAAGGGACTTACAACCTAACTTAGGGTCCTTATAACCCAATTTAGGGCCCTTATAACTCTACTTATAACTAGGGGGCCCCACCCTGTAGTTTAGGGTTTAGGGTTTAGGGTTTAGGGTTTAGGGTTGAGTAGTGCCCTTATTCCCTTTTTTTGGGGGGGCTTAGGTTCCCTTATAAACCCCTTTAAGCAAAGAAGGGTACCCTTTGTAATCCTGGGTTACGGAGCATCCCAGGGGTGTTTAGGGTTTAGGGTTTAGGGTTCCCTAAACCTTAAACCCTAAACCCTAAACCCTAAACCCTAAACCCCAAACCCCAAACCCTAAACCCTAAACCCTAAACCCTAAACCCTAAACCCTAAACCCTAAACCCTAAACCCTAAACCCTAAACCCTAAACCCTAAACCCTAAACCCTAGCTCTTCCGGGAGCAGAAGTCCGAAAATTTTGTCCCATGGGGGATCTGGAAGGCCCAACCCTGAATCTGAAGCCCAGAGGGCTCAGGGCCTTCGAGAAAGAAGTCCTCTAAGCTCCATGACCCTTCAGGGTTTAGGCTTCAGGGTTTAGGCTTCAGGGTTTAGGGTTTAGGGTTTAGGGTTTAGGGTTTAGGGAAACATGAGCCTTAAGCCCGAACTAAACCAAGACACATGAAAGCCCCCTAGCCGCAACGCCAAGGATATGAACGCGCCCAAGTGGGTTTCGCAGGACACCCGCCGGTGAGGGTTCCAGGTCTGGCAGTCGTGTCAAACCTTCCCCCAATTCCTACCACATTGGGGAGTATCCGAGGTCACTGCATGGCAAACCGTATAACCTTATAAACCTACAACTCTAAACCCTAAACCCTAAACCCTTGCAGTTTATTGACCTAACCCAGGACCCTGTCAAGAAAACAGTTTCGCATCTTCTGTCTTAGGCTTGGTTCCATTCATGGTTTGAGTGTGTGGTGCCGAGGCGGCATCTGTTGAAAAACCCTCTCACCCAAACCCCTAACCTGCCCTAAGCCCTAAAACCCTAAACCCCCAAAACCATAAACCCCAAACCCTAAGCCCTAAGCCCTAAAACCTACAAGCTCTGCCCTGTGCCAACATCGGCTCGGCTGAGACTGTTCCCCTCAACCCTAAACCCGAAACCTGGCCAGGACGTGCCGCTCTACGAAGCGCTCTTGAGCGACATCTTCCCAGGAACGGCCCTAAACCCTAAACCCTAAACCCTAAACCCTAAACCCTAAACCCTAAACCCTAAACCCTAAACCCTAAAGCCCTCAGTCCTGAATCCCTGAACCCTAAACCTTTAACCCTAGGCCCTAAGTCCTGAACCCTACACCCTAAACCCTAAAAACCCAAAACTCTTAACCTTTTACCAAATAGGCTTTGGGCCCCTGAGCCTCTTAGGGTTGAGGGTTTAGGGTGTAGGGTTTGGGGACCCTTCTTGTTTAAGATCCCTGGAGTATAATATAGTGTCCATCATGGGACTATTATATGGGAAACCTTTAGGGGTATAACCTTAGGTGTACGAGGCTGAACCCCTGACTAACAGATCAGCCACTCCTAGGCTTGAGGGGTGAAGGGATGTGCATGGATGTGATCTGATGTGTGGGGTTTAGGGTTTTGGGTTCAGGGCTTGAGCTTCAGAGTTAGGGTTTAGGCTTCAGGGTTTAGGGTGTAGGGTGTAGGGTGTGGGGTATAGGGTTTAGGGTTTAGGGTTTCGGGTTTAGGGTTTAGGGTTTATGGTTTAATTAGGGTTTTGGGTTTAGGGTTTAGGGTTTAGGGTGCTTTGGGCTAGCTAAACCTCAAGCAACGGAAGCTCCCAAACCCTGAGCCCTAAGGTCAGAACCCCAACCCTCAACTCTCAACCCTAAACCGACCCCAAAGCCTCAACCCGACACCCGAGAACACTGGACCCTAAACCCTAATGTTGGACCTGCTTTAATAATGTAACTCCCCCCCCCCCCCCCACCAACAGTCGCGACCCTGAATAAAAAAGACCCCAAACAGTCGGGGGGGGGGGGGGGGCAGAGAAATGAACTCTCTTCAGGGTTTTGGAACCAGATCCCAAACTAAGAACTTGACCTCAAAAACCATTATAAAACAAAAAAAAAAAAAAAACAGGCCCGGCCCGAAATCTTTTCATTATTGCGGACCCCCAAAACAGAGGGTCCAGATCCTGAATAGCCGGAAAACTGTTCATAATAGCGGCCCCCTAGAATATTGCGGGTGCAAAATTAAAACCCTGCAACAGGCGTCGAGCTGCCTATTCCCAACTATGGGAAGCTCGAGGAGGTGATCAACCAGGCCGCCAGGGTTCTAGGGTTGAGGATTTTGGGTTGCAGGGTTGTGGGGTTTAGGGTTTCGGGTTTAGGGTTTAGGGTTTCGGGTTTCGGGTTTAAACCCTACACCCCAAACCTTAGCCTCTAAACCCTACACCCTGAGACCCAAAACGTTTTGGGGAGAGGCCTGAGGAGCTTAGGAGGTTTAGGGTAGTTCGCGTGTGCACCATCTTGTGTCTGACGTCAGCACCTTGGGGACAAAACATGAAGCTGAAAGGTTTATGTTCCAGGCGCTCTCGTCTATTTATAGTCGTACAGGGCAGACGATCCAAGGTTAGGGTTCGTTCGGGCCCTACAGGGGTTCCGATGTTTGGGGATCTAGTGTTTTGCTTGAGAGGGTCTATAGGACTGTCGGGCATGTAGCCAGAGTTCACCTGCTTCGAAGGAGGGAGTCGGGAGTTGGGACCCTGAACCCTAAACCCTAAACCCTAAACCCTAAACCCTAAACCCTAAACCCCAAACCCCAAACCCTAAACCCTAAACCCTAAACCCTAAACCCTAAAACCCTAAAACCCTAAAACCCTCAACCCCAGTTCTTGTGGCTTTTATTTTGAAGACTTACCTTCCACGACGACCCCAAAAGGCAAACAACAGCAAACTAGAGCCTTAGGGTTTAGGGGTTCAGGGTTTTAGGGGTTTAGGGGTTTAGGGATTTAGGGATTTAGGGTTTATGGTGTAGGGGTGTAGGGTTTAGAGCCTCAACAAGCCCGAGAACGACCCTCAAGCCTCTAGACGTGACAGACCTGTGTCGAGGTACTCGATGAGATGGGATGCCAAAAGGTCAAGCACTCCGTGGCCAAGTGCATCAGCATCTACGACGCTTGGCACAGCGCGGGCACTGACTTCCCGCTTGCCCCGAAGCCCGAAAGCCCTGAGCCCCGAAGCCCTGAGCCCCTAAACCCTAAACCCTCAACCCTAAACCCTGAACCCTGAACCCTAAACCCTAAACCCTGAACCCTAAACCCTCAAACCTTCATTTGAGCTCGGAGGCGCCCTAAAGCTATGTCCCCCGCAGAGGGTGTAGGGTTCAGAGGAGCTAAGGCTTGTGGCTTCCGCAACACATGTGGCAACAGAGGGGTTTCTCAAAACGCAACAAGACTGCAGGCCTAATTTCAAACAAGTACTAGTTACTAGTATGGCAGTATAACTTCAAGACTCATGAACATAGCCATATAGCCATACATGAACATCGTCATGTAGCATCTTAATTCATAAAGACGCCAGCGGGCGCACGATGCAGCGTTGCATCGGGAAATGAAAGCAAACGAGAAAACTGTCTGGATGGTCCCCCGACCCCCAGGGTGTTGGCCTCGGATTTGGGGGCAGGGGAGAGGGGGGCGGGTCGGGCCTACAGTTTTGAAGGAACTACTCCTTAACACTAGGCACATCCCATAGGACTGCAGGCAGGGTTTCTCCGGTTACCCTAAACCCTAAACCCTAAACCCTAAATTTCTCCGCAGTTCCCAGACTCAGACCCCTGTTTCGTGCCCAGGAGACCAAGATCACCCGACACGGCAACATGCTTCTCGGCAAGCACTCTTCCTGAGCCGTGGAAAGGGTTTAGGGTTTAGGGCTTAGGGGGGTGGGTACCGGCGAGCAACGAAAAACTACCGGCGGACAACGAAAGATGTCTCATAACAACGAAAGATAACAATGTAAACGGCCCACCAGCATCGATCCAGGTCCGGCGGCAACCATCCCCTTCCGGCGAGCAACGAAAAACCCTTCTGCCAAGCATCGAAAACCTGCCGCCCAGCATCGAAAACCGTCCGCCCAGCATCGGAAAACCTTTTGGTCAAGCATCTCAAACTCTGGAACCTTTGTAGGAAGACCATCGATACCCGTGCAAGCTTGCTTCAAATCAGATGACTCTTCAAACCCATCATGTGATCATGGCGTTTGCAAATAGGGGGCGCTGCGCCCCCCCCAACCCCCCCCACCTGTTTAAGCCGTGCAGGCTTGCCCCAAAGCATATGAAGTTTTTTAACCCATCGTGCGATCATTGTGCTGCAAATGGGGGGGGGGGGAGGGCTGCGCCCCTTCCAACCCCCCGGCTTTGTCAAGCCGTGCAAGCCTGATTCAAATCATATGATGTCTTTAAAACCATCATGCGATCATTGTGTTTGCAAATGGGGGGGGGGGGCTGCGCCGCCCCCCCCCCCCAAACCCCTCGCTTTTTTCTTCAAATCAGATGGATCTTCTTCCAACCCATCATGCGATCATTGCGTTTGCAACTGGGAATGGGGGGGCTGTTCCCCCCCCACCAGCCCCCGCGCTTGTTTTGAGCAGTGCAAGCTTGCTTCAAAGCATGTGAGTCTTTTTTGCGTATAAACGGAGGGCCTGTTTTTTGGGGTATTTTTTTTTGGGTGCCTTTTTTTTTGGGGGTCGATTTTCTTTGGTTTTTCCTAAGAAAACCACCATTCCCTCCATATTGTTAAAGGATTTGTTGCATTTTCGTGGTCTTTCGTACGAAAAACAATAATTTCTCTGTGGTTTCATAGGAAAGCGTTATTTCTGGTAGGTTTTAGAAGGAAAGAAGGAAAGAAAGGAAGGAAGGAAGGATGAAAGAAAGGAAGAAAACAAGGAAGGAAGGAAGGAAGGAAGGAAAGGAGGGAAGGAAGAAAGGAAGGAAGCAAGGAAGGAAGAAAGGAAGGAAGAAAGGAAGGAAGCAAGGAAGGAAGAAAGGAAGCGTGCTTCGAAGCCCAAGAAACTAGTTGAAAAACATCGTGTGAGCATTGTGTTTGCAAATGGGGGGGGCTGCGCCCCCCCCAACCCCCCCGCTTTTTTTAAGCCGTGCAGAGCGTGCTTCAAAGCCCAAGAAACTTGTTGACACCCATCATGTGAGCAGGGTGTTTGCAAATGGGGGGGCGCAGACCCCCCAACCCCCCCCGCTTTTTTTAAGCCGTTCAAAGCCCAAGAAACTAGTTGAAAAACATCGTGTGAGCATTGTGTTTGCAAATGGGGGGGGGGGCTGCGCCCCCCCTTTTTTTTAAGCCGTGCAGAGCGTGCTTCAAAGCCCAAGAAACTTGTTGACACCCATCATGTGAGCAGGGTGTTTGCAAATGGGGCTGGGGCTGCGCCCCCCCCAACCCCCCCCCGGCGTGCTTCAAAGCCCAAGAAACTAGTTGAAAAACATCGTGAGCATTGTGTTTGCAAATGGGGGGGGGGCTGCGCCCCCCCCCAACCCCCCGCTTTTTTTAAGCCGTGCAGAGCGCGCTTCAAAGCCCAAGAAACTTGTTGACACCCATCATGTGAGCAGGGTGTTTGCAAATGGGGGGCGCAGACCCCCCAACCCCCCCCGCTTCTTTTAAGCCGTTCAAAGCCCAAGAAACTAGTTGAAAAACATCGTGTGAGCATTGTGTTTGCAAATGGGGGGGGCTGCGCCCCCCCCAACCCCCCCGCTTTTTTTCAGCCGAAGCCAAGAAACTAGTTGAAACCCATCATGTGAGCAGGGTGTTTGCAGATGGGGGGCACAGCCCCCCCAACCCCCCCGCTTCTTTTAGCCGTACCAAGCGTGCTTCAAAGCCCAAGAAACTAGTTGAAAAGCATCGTGTGAGCATTGTGTTTGCAAATGGGGGGGGCTGCGCCCCCCCCAACCCCCCCGCTTTTTTTTTAAGCCGTGCAGAGCGCGCTTCAAAGCCCAAGAAACTTGTTGACACCCATCATGTGAGCAGGGTGTTTGCAAATGGGGGGGGGGCTGCGCCCCCCCCCAACCCCCCCCGCTTCTTTTAAGCCGTACCAAGCGTGCTTCAAAGCCCAAGGGCAGCCCAAGAAACTAGTTGAAAAACATCGTGTGAGCATTGCAAATGGGGGGGGGCTGCGCCCCCCCCAACCCCCCCGCTTTTTTTCAGCCAAAGCGCAAGAAAGTAGTTGAAACCCAT